TAGAAAACCAATCCAGAGGGCTCCGTTAGCTAGGCGGCCGGTCGGTTTCAAAGGGGAGGGAATGGGGGAAGGAAAACGGGGTGGTAGAGTGAGGTCGGTAGGAGGTGGGTGTAGCAGGGAGAGAGGGCTAAAGGACTACAGGGGGTGGGAGGGTAGAGGGATACATATATACATATATAGGTATATATACATATATATGTATGTCGTACAGCACTCTATGCCGTCGATGTGGCTCGTGTTTAACGCCCTTATAAATGTGTAATGCGTATGCTTGAGTGGGAGGGGGTTGGACGTACCCGCAACTCGCCAGGTTGGTCTCTCCGCGTATCGATAAACGATCAATCAACCTGTACACCTATGGACGAGGCCAGCGAGAAGGGTAAAAGAGATGACGGCGGCGGGGTGAAGGTGGATGATTAGACGAAGAGGTGGAAGAAGAGGAGGAACACAGGGGAAGCGGCGAGGAGGCGAAAGGGATGAGAGAACGGTACGATGGTGGGTGAAGATGGGTATGTGAGAGGATGGAAGGGGTGGAACGGTGAGAGAGAGAGGTAGATCGCGCGCGCAACGAAGGTAGAAGGACACAGTGAGAGGGAGGGAGAGGGAGCGAGAGAGGGTTCACTGCAAGAGAGCGCGGAGCAGGTTGTGGGAGGGTGGTGGCCCGCAGAGTATCGACCCACCGTGGAGGAGAACGTAGCTAGGGTCGCCGTCGCCGGGTTTTGTTGCTATAGGTGTGCCTTCCGCGTTTCCGTCTATGAGGAACCTGCGTGAAGACCTTCGGGGATCCAGACATAATACCGTGGAACGCGGGGCAACGTCAACCCATAGTTTCAGAGATTCGCTGAAAACAGGCATTACAGAAACTGCATGTTGCTGTATGCGTCTTGATTGTCTCGCCTTATCCAGAGATTCTTCTAATAAACAATTGGTTTTAAAGCTGATCTAGTCATCCATAGTTCTCGACAAGTTTTGCGACGAAAAGCAGAATTCGTTGAACGAGGCGGAGCCCAATATTTCAGAGGCGATTACTATATACAAATCTTAAATCCCGGGTGTTAAATCATAGTTATTGTTCTTATATTGTATAATTTTTCGTAATGGTAATAATCTTATACATCCTGACACATCACCCTCATAAACGTCCACGTTGATCCTCCCAGAAAGGGATCTCAATCTCTCTACCTGTCCCCTTGTCGAAAATTTACATTTTCCTGGGGCCTAACCGGACGACGAACCGCCTTCTGCATCCCTACGCCTCTCAGCCACCCCACCCAGCCCCATCGTCATCCATATTTTTCCTCTTCTCTGCGAAGACGTCACGCGGCCGGTAAAAGGGCAGAGGGCCGTGGACGAGTGAGACGCAACCGATACGAATTACCAGCGTCACGCCAGCATTCCGGAGGATGCATCGGGATACGCATCATTTACGCGCCGTTAAACGCGTTAACGACCCGGTCCCGGCGACTGCCACCGCCGTCACGTAGAATGCTCGGGAACGAAAGGAGAGAGCGCATCTCTCGATTCTTCGTTGTCGTAGCCTGGGTCGCGTCGTTTGTCCCGCGTGGTTTCATCGCGGACGAGAGATAGAGAGAGAGAGAGAGAGAGACATAACGTGAACGTTTCGTCCTGCCCATCCCCGAGCTCGTCTGTCTTTTCATACACCCTCGGTTACCTCGTCTGATCCGCGGTCTCGTGCATATCCGTCCCCCCTTTTCGGTCGGGCACGCCGTTCAAGTGGGCATGGAGGGAACAATACATCCACCGAGCGTGCTATGTGCCAGCGGAATCTGGCCATTGTGGGGTCAGGTGGGTCGTCAGTCGGCAGAGAGCCCGTTGGCTGGCTTGGCGGGGTGTGGCCACATAACCATAGCCGCAACGATCTCTCCTCTTCGTCTTCTGTTCCCTCTTTCTCTCCCTCTGTCTCCCTATCCTCCCTCTTGTCTCGCAGTTGGTACCGTTTCGCCCGATTCTCTGTCCTTCTTCGTTCACCGATAACCCGGTCTAGTTCCGTCTTCTTTCCTCTATCGTGGATTCGAGTCCGTTCTCCGTTCGCTGATAACAATAGGTGCTGCCCTCTCTGTTGCTCCGTCACGCGCTATCGCGCTCCCGTCTCGGTGGCCCGCGCTCGCCGCCCCCGCTTACGCTCTTTCTCTCTCTTACTCTCTGTTCGTCTCTCTCTATCGCTCTCCCCCTTTTCCGTTCGCGGATTTCGCCGGCGTCGCCACGAGGTAGGGATACGCGCGATGCGCGTACGGCACCGAGCTACCAAGCAGGCGCATCGCCGTCCTATTACAATGGCCAGCCCTCCTAAGCGTTTCATTGTCATCGGACCGCGGCTCTCTGCCCATGCGTCGATGCGCACAAACCATTGTTTTGCCCGAATGGGCGGCACTCTCCGCACCGCGACGCCATCGGCCTACCGACGTCGATTCCGCGACCAGATGATCATCAGCAACGCTTTTGCACCGAGAGAGATCATTTGATGTGAAACGAACGACTGGTTTGGAAGCCAAGAGGACTCTATGGATTTCTTTTTTTTACCCTGTCTGACACTGAACGTCCAAATCTCCTTCGACGCTTGAACGAGGTCCGTCGAACCAGCTACCAACAAAATATTAGCCCCACTAGAGACTAAACCGCTTATCCGTAGCCCATAGTCCCGAAGTGAGAGTACTTTTAATGGAATTCATAGTCGAGCCAACGGAGTTCCTTCATCATCGCGGCTCAGACACGCGTTCGAGAGAAAAATAAATCCTCGTAGTAGTCCTTGAATCCTCTTTAACGCATTGCGCTCCGCAAAAAGAGGACGACGAGACCCGCGCCGGGATGCCCGTGTATTAACGCGAACGCCACGGTGTATGTTAAATAGACGGGGCATCGTAAACGGGCACGCTATAGCCATTTGAGCGGGCAGCATTTCCCTGGCGTTTATAATTTGCAGAAATAAAAACCACCGCCGCATGGCAGCCGCGGACGATTCAGCTCGGGGCCCCCCGTCTCCTCACGGGGGGGAAATTTAATGCGACTGCGTCACGGATAAATACATCATCGTTCGATGGCAACGATACGATGACTCTCCCCGTTAAGGCCCGATAATGAATTCCCAATTAAAGATTCCAGACCCGGGCTGCGTGTGTCGATGATTTACGTCCACCGTTGAGTACGAAGATTCCATCCCCCCTACCGATTCCGTCCCCTTCTTCCGGCGAGTCCCGAGTCAGTGGAGAGCTCGCGAAACCCGCACGAAATCTCGTTACACAGGGGAAAACAAAACGAGGATCTCACGGTGAAAACCGTATTCATTAATAACGGGCTGGGGTATCATTGGATCGCGCGACGTAGACATCCGAGTGGAACCGGTCGGAATGACTGGACAGGCGAATCTCTACCAGATAAGCGGAGCCCTGGCCGAGTAAATCAGATCCGTTCTCCATCTAAGCCCCTCACCCCCTTCTCTCATTCCTGTTGCATTCTGAATGTAATATACGGAGACACAGGGGACAATCAACCGGCGAGCCTTATAACCGCGGCATTAAAGATAACGATGGCCTGATATCTAGCTCTCGCATTAACGAACCATCCCCGTCAAAATGCATTCACCCGACGTGTAAAATAAAGGATCGCGCTTTCGTCTGACCGTCGCCTGGACACGATCTACTTGCACGTTCTGTTCACAGACACCCTTATCTACGAAGACGCGAACAGATGGGGCTGATGATCGACTCTCGCGTCGCGACCGCGTGCATTTATAGGAAATTAATTCTACGGTGATAAGGTTCTTATAAGATAATAGACGGGTAATAACTATTTCTGTTCTCTTTTCTTTTCGAAGTGAATGCGCCGATGGTGCAGTCTATTTTAGTATTTCTTGATATTTCTGAGATTGTATCCGTACTTACTGCACGTTTAAACTAAGAACTGTGTATATTCTTGAGCATTTAAACTCTCAGATACTTGCTATCAGTTATCGTAAAATAATTATTTTAGAATCTTAATCAGTTAGCACAAGAGGGTATTTTTTCTCGATATAAAAAGTTTCTAATTCTTCCTGAAGTAATGTATAAATATATCCTGAAACGTAGATTGCAAAAAGTGTTACAGTTTTTTCATAAAAAAGAATACCAAATATTATATTGAAAATGGGCGTCGAGACTAGACCTCCCCCTTAATTAAATTGGATAGTGGAGGGTAATATTTATGTCGATCTCTATTTTGGCGCACCCCGCTGCAGAGGATGTCTAAATCACACCTATTTTTTCATTCTCGACATTCGTTTCGCGATCGACGTAACGGATCGTCTCACGCTGAAAATTGCAGTCCTGTCGGTTCGGAGCGCCGCGATCGCTCTCGAGCAACGGCGGGAATCTGGTCTACTGTTACCGCATGGCAAAAATGATCGCAATTGCGCCAATAAATCTTCCGCGCTAATGCCTGCCCCGGAGAAACAGTTATCAGATCTTCGAGATGTAATGGAGCTTTAACAATTTCCCCTGCTATTATCTTCGGCGCTCATTAACGATTCGTTGAACTTGATGGTCTAACGGAGATTCCTGGCGGGCTGGTATTACGGTAACAATATATTAGGATGTAACATGTGAACTGGCCGTACGAAGATGGTAATTCATAGGCGTGTGAATAAATTTACCAGTGATCGATGTGTTTGCAGTACATTTATTCGGGAAATGTTTTGAAATCAACATTACCATGAACTCACGGAGTACCACCTAAGAAGTTCTTATAACACTTTTTTATGTAATTTTTAAGATCAATAGTCTTACAAATAGAAATCATCGAAATCGAGAACTATATTGAATAATAAAAGCGGAACGTCAGTAATATCCATAAATTAAAAATTGGGTGTTATTAAAGCTATTACTTAATTAGATTGAATTGAAACCTACGACATACTACTGCGACATTCACGATAAAATTAAGATCCTTCAGCTAACATTAGTTTTCCACTGAACTACGTCGATCTATGCAAAGACATACCAAATGATCTACTGGGCGTTCAGAATCATTGTTTTCTCGTGCCTCTCGATGGCGATCTTCTTGATTCTCTCCCACAACATGGGATAAGGGTGTATAGTCCTAGCGAAGTCGGCCCTGTTCAGACGATACAGCTCGCACACCTCGACAGCCACAACGCTGGCTACTCTCAACTCGTTCGGCATGACGAGCGCGACTTCGCCGAAGTGGGCGCCGTCCTCCAGGTGGCAGACTTCCTTGCCCGAGTTCGTGTAGATCGCGACGGTTCCTGTAGCGATGAAGTACATGCAATCCCCCGGTTGGTTCGCGCGGACGATCACGTCGTTCGTGAGGAAGATCTCGGATTTTAGCTGCCCGACGATTCGGCCGAGCAACGAGAGTGGAAGGTTGTTGAAGAAGGTGACATTTTCGACCAGCTTCCGACAGGAGTGCATGCTGATCTCGTGTCGCATCTGCGTGGACAGGGTGTGTATGATCTCGGACTCGCGGAAGTATCGACGTTGGAAATGGAACTCGTAATACTCTGTGATCCTCGCCTGGGTGACATGTGGGAGGTGTTTGTGCCTCATGTACTGTCTCAGCTGGGCCATGGTCGCTTGGTACTTGAGACGGGAACTGTTGGTACCTTTGAAGAATTGCATCACCCGGCTGATTAGTATCCACGGGGCCAGGATGCCGAGTACCTGTAGTCCTATTATCAGATACAAATCGACCATGTTCGTCTCGTTCGCTTGAAGCAGCCCGGACTTCATGAATGTGGCTATAGCGCGTAACATGGATGAAAAATACTGGTCTCCCCTCGACAGGTGCCAAAGCTCCTGCTCCATCACCCAGGAATTATTCGCCGGTGGTTTCGGCCTCTGCATGGACATGGCTGCTATTGGTATCATCCAGAACAAGCAAGACTGCCAGTGGACACCAATCAATAGCCAGTATATAACGACGCAGAATTCGTAACGGGCCAACGGCATATCGTAAGCGTGCGCTAGCTTGCTTATGTGGTGGCTTAGAGAGAATACTCGAAAGACGCATATAAGGGACGCTATTTTGCGGAACACTTTCCTCCGGTACCACCATGTTATAAAAAACAGATCGGTAGGAAAGGAACCCAACAGATCGGGGAAAAATGTGCTCGATTTGATGTATCTGTTTAATATCTTCTTCGGGTCCAATATCACCTTGTGTTCCTCTTCGTCCATGTAGCTGAAATTTTCGAGAAACCGAAAGTCAGTGTACATTCTACGCTGTAAGCACACCAATTGCTAAATGTATTCGTACACGATGATGATGGAAAGAAAAGTTGCTATATTTTCTGAATTACTGATTACAATCGAATGTGTATATTTGTATGTTACGCGTGTATATGTATAGGCATCGGTAATAACAAATATACTGGAACACTTTTGTCCATTTCCATGTACATGTATATTTACCCTGTTTTCATTTTGATCAACATGTCGATACAGCACACCCCCAGCAAAGAGTTTTTCACGACGGTCCAAGCCATTGGGCGTTGAATCATTTCAAATGCGGCTTGGTACGGAATCAGTATTTCCATGATTGTTATTACGAATATTATCACGATATTCCAGCAATGGCTGTAATGATCTAAGTAGTTAGATATGTGTAATGCAGTTCGATAACCTACATAAACGTTGGTAACTACCACAAATTCTTTGCTACTTTCAGTCTTTAACAGTAGACGATTTAATTAATTACTCGGGGCTAGAAATTATAGCTCTACAACACTTCAATATCTCCATTGTTATGGAAATGGAACGAGAAGTAGTCAAACTGTTTGAACATAGAAATCCATGAAGTATTGTTCCTTTAAAGAGTTACTTTACATCATACTGGTCTTCCAAACTTTTCAATGCTATTTCTATAGCCCGAAAAGTGATACCAAGTCGATTTCTTCTCGTTTTCTATTATAAAGGAATGTCTCTGCTTGGATAAACTAAATCCATGTGAGTTTACAGTGGCCATAAATAATCAATTAAATTTGCGTCTACTGTAGAAAAATGGCTACCTGAACATGCTGAAAGGATGAATAATGTGCATGTATTTCTTTAACTGTCGACGTCTCTCGGACACGATGAAAGCGGTGCTTCCTAGATATTTACGAGCAGCCGGATTTCTGTACGAGGCCATCAGCGTAAGGCGGAGGAAATCGTAGAGTTTTCGCAGTGGCGTTCTGTCAGGAAGGAACAATATATCATCTTCTTTTGGGATTTCGCAGGTGTGTTCTACATGCAGCATGATTAAACGATTAATCCGTAATTAATTTACTGACGATTCTTGAAAAGGTTAACGTTTTCTATCAAATAAAGATGGTCGTTGTACAATAATATTATTCGTAAGTTGCAAGCTTCAGCTAATTACGTTCGGAAAATGAAATATTGGAATGTATCGAAATTCATGAGGAACTTCATAGAGGCATTACTCAGAAGGATGTCTTTACTGAATTTCAGTTTCCCCTGGTACTAATACTATTTGTAATATTCAGTAGTCTGAATTATTAAATTTGACAATAGTAGATATAATTCCTTCATGTTAGAAAATTATATGCAAAATGAATTATCAGGTGGATTGTGTAAGATATGGAGTCATCTAAACGAGAGAAACTTAATCTGTTCGTAATTGTTTAAGGTAAAACAGAATAAAGAGATCTTCCATATTCACAGTAGGTACGACGAGAAATTGTATCAATGCACGGACGAAACCGGAAAATAGTTGGCGCCGAATGTTAACGTATCTAAACGATTTATATATCAAAAAATTGCTCCCAATTTGCTCCTTCCGAATCTGAAATTGCTCCCCCAGTACCATTAATAGTTAATGAGATATTCGCAAAAGAAAAACTTACAATTTGCTGTTAACAAAATAGGTAGTAAATGACCTTTTTAGACAAATATTATGATACCAAAAAATTGCTCTTGATCTGTTTTATAATAATCAATAGTCAGATATCTCAATAGCTTTGCTCGGGAGAGTACATCTCACATACACGGGGTCCTTGGCGCCTCCACCGGGGGTTCTATGACCCCACGTTCTCACCCACGTGGTCTCTGGCGCCTCCACCTGGGGTTATATGACCCCAGTGTCTCACCACAAGGGGTCTCTGGTGCCTCCAGCGGGGGTTCTGTGACCCCACGCTCTCTCCACACTGGGTTTCTGGCGCCTCCACCTGGGGTTACATGACCCCACTCTCCCACTACACGGGGTCTCTGGTGCTACACCAGGGGGTCCTGTGACCCCACTATTTTTCCGCCATCTTGGATTCAGAAAAGTGCCGGAAAAATTTGGGAATTTATGGGACATTTAGTGGCGCCCCCACCATTTTGGTGGCAAAAATTGCAACTAACTCCAGAACTTCTTCCAAACCTTAAAAGTTTTAGAATTAATTATTTTGTTATTATTTATTATATCTTATTACTTTTTTGATTAATTGATATTAGGAATAGGAGTGGAGATAGTTCCGGGGTTAATGAATAACGCGTATGTATGATTTGGCCGATTTTTATTGAAAAATTTGTACGAAAATATACAATTTACAATAGTATTTATGTAAATTTAACAACAATTACCTTAAGTACTACTTACATGTATGATTTTGCAATATATTTATAATAATATTTGTAGAGATTCAATAAAAGTGCCCTTAGATACTTATTTTATTTAAATCCTACTTATCTATATGATTTTATAATATACTTGTAATGATATTTATATAAATTCAGAAAAAGTAGGCTTAGATATTATTCAGGCTTATAAAAGATTGTACCTTATATGCCACAAATAATTCCCTCCCATGTAACTTGCAAATCTTCCGTACCGTCTTCAAAGCTTCGTAAAGTTTTCATAAGTTCGACACCGAAATTTTGATTACCGGTGGCATACGATAGACGTGTGTAGTAATTTGCAGTAGTCCTCTGCTCGAATTGGGACTGACGCTTGTCCGTGTTCCCGTAAACAAATTAGATAATAACCCCAGCAATAATGGCAGTTTCTGCAGATACTATTATACTACAGCCTAAGTTTAAAAGACGTAGGCAGTAGTTAGTTTATGCAGAATCCTGTTGAACAAGACAACTATAATTAGTATAAGATTGTACATTGTTTATGCAGTTATATTTAAGACAATTCGATGAAATGAAGCTTATATTACCTGACGTATGTTTATTGGAATATACATATATACATCTAAATTGTAATGATATAAAAGTTTGAAACACAATACGATGCGGTACGGTACAATACGTCTATTCGATTCAATTGTTTCCTTGCGACTATATCATGCTATCCGCGTCGGCGCAGTGCGCTAATACGGAGGCCAACGAAATATCACTGTAACACTTAAAAAAGTTTAAAGTTCCATTTATATCATTGTCCTGTCAAAATGTTCATACTTCCAGCAACATTTACATTCCAATCAAAGAATTTACAGAATAAGGAAAAGGAATCTAAAGTAATTTTCAGTAGTTCCATATATCTTTATCTCGAATAATTTTCTAAAACATTCAAAGTACTAGACATTTTTACACGTTGAATCTCATATCGATTTCTAAAATAATCCTAGTTCGATGTAATATAGAACGTGGTTTTATCAGATAGATTCGAAGTTCGCAGCCATTAGCTCGATATTGTCATCAGTTTACAGTACTTTACCGATGACAATACCGATTGCCCAGGCCTCACCACGAGGAGGTTGCTGCGAGTGGAGGCCCAAGGCAAGTAGATGGAATCACAAGTTCTACATCTACCCACCTTTCACAATAAACCTTATAAATTACTTAAATCTTAACTATATAATACTACCGATACTAAAATCCCTCGGCGGATGACTTCTTTCTTGAGCCTAAACCTATAAAAAACTAAGTTCCCTCGTCGGTTGTCTTCGTTCTTCAG